GATTTATTTATGGCGATACCTCATGGACAGTGCTCCACCTCCACTCGCATCATCCCTGCCTGTGACCGCTGGGTCGTGCTGTGCGCCGCCTGCTCTCTTCTGTGAGTCTCGGTCTGACCCGATAATGAATAACTCAGTCTTGTGCTGCGTCCGAATCAAAAGACTGCTTAATATATCAAAATAACGATTTTGTAGTAAGTGAGATACCTTTTTATTTCAATTCACACGGTGTATTTTTTTTGTTTCATGTCTCAGATTTCTTTTGTATTTCTTTTTTAACTCCTTACATTTCACTTGTGTTTTTAAACTCATGCACATGTGCTCTTTATACAGTTTTAAAATAATAAATCCAACATCCGAAATTGACTGTTTTGTTTTATCTATATTATATATTTGGCCAGGAGTGGTAGGTAGGGTTACAAGAGGAAGAAGGTGAGGCCGTTGTCCTGTGTTCTGTATGATTCTACTGGAATATGTTGTTCTGGGCTAGAGGTCTGATAGTCGACATACACGGCTACCTGCAAAGGGCATGGATGTCTTTGCGGTCACTTTTCCTGGATGTTTACTTAGCTTCGATTAATATGAATTAATTTACATTATCAGCTGTTTTTTTACTTTCAACTTCCCAGGGGGGGCAGACCGTGAGTCTCCATCACTGGCTGTGTCCTCCTAGGAAAGTTAACTGCATGCCCCGGTGATGCTGAAGCTTGGCTGGAAACAGATTGGATCTATACTGTTCTGAGAGCATGTCCACCTCAGCAGTGCCACGAGGAGTCTGGCGGGGAGTCTGGGGTGCAGCAAGAAGGGTACTCAGGGGTAGGGATAGTAGAAGGATCTCTCTGGGGATGTTCTATCGGGAACTCACCAAGGCCAGCTGGCCTGGGTCTGAAAAAGCCTGGGTTAAAACCGGTCTCACTGAACATAGAGGACAATGAGGACTACTGAGACCTCAAGAACAATGGCAATGGGTTTTTGATCCTACTGTACCTATTGGTTTCGTGGGAGCCTAGGCAGTTTCGTGGATGCTCACCTTACTAGACCTGGATGGAGGTAGGTGGTCCATGGACTTCCCACAGGGCAGGGAACCCTGATTGCTCTTTGGGCTGACGAGGGAGGGGGAGTTGATTGGGGGAGGAGGAGGGAAAGGGGAGGCAGCGGTGGGGAAGAGACAGAAATCTTTAATAAATAAAAAGAAAACAACTTATGCTTAAAAAAAAAGAAGGATCTCTCTGGGTCTGTTCTTGGGACTGGACCAACTCGATGACAATTTCTTGTGTCAGGAGTGGAGCAGTATATGCTTCTAGCCATAAGCCAGTGTGGAGAACACCCCTAGAGTGCTGACAGGAGCAGTAGATGTGGGCCTGGAAACAGTGCAGCCATGCGAAGAAGCTGACTGATGAGACGCCAGTGGGCAGCATATGTATGTGATTTAAATCAGAGACTAAGAGATCAGACGCTGAGATCCTGGAGAGGGCATCTCGGCTGCAGTCGATTCCTCTGTGGCCTGCGTGTCCACTCTGCATTCATCCCTGTCTGTTCTCTGACCTCTCATTACTGATATCCTACAGTTGGTCTTGATATCAACTTCTGATATCACACACAGGTAGGGTCTGCATACACACACACACACACACACACACACACACACACACACTTGGGGAAGATGACTTTTTCAGTAGCACCGAGTTGACTTCCATTTTTTTTCGTTCATAAAGCACATTACTGTGGCCCACGTCTTCATCAACCAGAATCAGAATGTACGCCTGCACCTTCTATATTCTAAAATAGACTAAAGCATCAGTATCTGTAAATGAGGTACCTCAGACCCCCAGCAGGAGGCTAAGCTGGTGTTGGAGCCACAGAGAACCGTCACACACTCAAGGGGATGATCAGAGACCTATTGTATGGTCCTGGGCATCAGATTGCACCGAAGTGAATGAGTGCTGCCTATGCACCCCAGGAGTCTTGCTGCCCCTAGTGTAATTCTTCAGTTTAACAGCCAGCCATCTCTCACATAGCGAGACTAGTTGGTTTTTTTTTTTTTTTTTTTTTTTTTTTTTCCCCACTAGTCATGGCCTTTTGAAACCGAGCAGAACTGGCTGTGGTTTAACTGCCCGTATTTTCTCTGCTAACACCCTAGCTACCCTTTGTGTTGCCCCAGTCCGTGAGTAGGTGGGTTTGACTTTGAGCATTTTCCAGGAAGCAACCACATTGACCAAGCAGGTAGACAAAGATGCCTGAGAAAATGAAGCCATCAGCCACAGAGCAGCAGCCTGCACACCATCAACCTCCAGTGTCCCCCCCTCCCCTGCACCTGGCACTCTTTCTGTATGGCTGAGACGTGAGAGCCCAGGTGGACTCCGGAAGAAGGGTACTGGGAGGCACTGCCTGTGTCCTGGCTACTCACAAAGCTGCTGCCTCCTATTGTCAGTTTCCGGTCTCTGCATCTGCTCTTCCACCGCAGATACAGTTCCATGTCTGTAAAGCGGGCCCAGGAGCTCGGCCTGAAAAGGACTGATCAACTCAGGACTATCAAGGAGTTGAACAAAATGCAATCTATGCCCTGGCAATGCTGAAGCATGCATGGGCAGCCCGTATATGGCGGTTCTGTTGAACTTGTCCATGTTGGGTATCATGGTCTAAGTTGGTGAGGACGACTGAGCAGGTCTTTTCCTCCATCGAGAAGTTAATGTAATTTAAATCTAATCTCTGAATCTTGTTCATGTATTGTTCCAAATGTGCGGTGGCTCTGTGTGCTTTCCAACAGAACCAGCTTTGTAGACTCACGCTGATTGTAAACAGTCTTTCCGACATGAAAGTTAGATTTCATTTTAATTCAAATGTAGAAGCTCTAACTTTGCACGTGCCCATGAGAAAAGGTGTGGAATACTCACTGAGCTTTCATCCAGCTACCGCATGGAGAACATTTTGTTTAGTATCGCTGCTTACAGAAATGCAGGCATGGCTAACAGGTGCCATGCCTGCTGGTATTCCTGCATGGTGGGGTGGTAGAGAATGGGAAAAGGACCTGAATAGATACATGTAACAGACCTCAACCAGATGAGATGTTTGTCTTCAGAAAAAAAAGTCAATTGTTGCCACAGTGAGACCTTGTTTTCTACTGGGAAGATTAGCATAGCTCGAATCTGACAGGCCTCTTGTGGGTGTTCACATACACCTGGTCTCCAGAGCTAAGTGGGCTGACTGTCTATGAAGGGTGACTAGGCGGACCTTCTCAGTGTCACTAGAAAACATGGATAAGACCCTTGGTCTATGACTGCACGTATGTGCAGCTGTGTGCATGTCCACATGGAGACAACCCCAGGTGTGGACTCTCAGATACTGTCTACCTTGTCTGTTAAGACTGGGAGAGGGCATCTCAGCTGTCGTCACGCTTTCTCTGTGGCTTGGGGGTCCACTCTGCCCTTGGCTTTTGGCCTTTCTCACTGTGAATTTTCTTTGTGAGAAAAAGAAATTCAAACTGATAGTCCTTAGTACTGGAGAAAGTTCTGGGGTGTGTTGCCTAAAAGTTTTCACTTTGATTTGTAATTAGAACATGGAGTTTCTAAGATACTTGTATTTATAGTTGAGCGGCGTTTGGCGTACTGCTTTCCTGTGCACAATGGTGTGTATAGAAAGACATAAAGACACGTGACAGCGGGTTTTCCCAGCTGTGAGGTGGGTGCAGAACATTCAGCTGGTTCTTAAATGCCTGCCATTGGGAGCTAGACACTGGATAATTATACACAAAATACTCGAAGTTCTGCAAGAAAGGCTACTACTAAGACCAGACTTTGTGTGGGACTATATGGATCTTCATTTTCTACTGAGTACACGTGGGTGCAGACTTCTGCTCCCTAATTTATTTTATCCCAACATGAGCTATTCAATACAGCAGCATGTTTGGTGGACAGGAAGTCTGTGTGGGAGTTGGCCATGCTTGGACAACCCAATGACAGGCTGGGCTTCAGTTCTGTAATTTTAATACCAACATAAAACTAGGAGAGCAAAGGTAGATAGACAATTAATGTGGGATTTCCCTCTGTGTGCTGTGATTACCATTATGAATAAAGGAACTGGTTTTGGGCCTATATTAGAGCTATAGGGGAACAGAGCTGGTTGAGGCAGGGACTAAACTGAATGCTGGGAGAAAGAAGGGCAGAGTTGAGGAGAAGCCATGGAGCCACCGCCAGAGAAAGACACTGAGAACTTTTCATTAAGCCACTGCCACATAGCTATACACAGATTAATGGAAATGGGTTAAATTAAGATGTAAGAGTTAGCCAATAAGAAGTTAGAGCTAATGAGCCAAGCAGTGATTTAAATAATATGGTTTCTGTGTGATTATTTTGAGGCTAAGCAGACGGGAACCAAAAAGCTGCCTCCCTCCTTATGACAGACAGTTCCCTTGAGCAGTTCCTAGTCTGGTGAGGAAGGTTTTCCTGAGGAATACCTTGTTTCTGCTCCATAACCAAATGCTTTAGAAGGAAATAGTTGGGCTACTGAAGCCAGGCAGTCTGGGCTCAAATCTAGCTGCTGTTTTTATAAGCTGCATAGGCTGTAGGAAAATTTCTACCCATCTCTGCCTCACTTTCCCAACTCCTCTGTGGAGTTTGGGCCGCTCTCCTGGGAACAGTGTGAGGATTGGGAAGCATGATACTGTGAAACAGGGACAGAGTTGACCACATTGCTCACATCCTACTAGACCTTTTCCTGTTTCCATGGGAATGGCTTAAGCCAAATGAGCCAGGCCAGTTTTCCCTGGGAGAACAATCATTTGGGCTTCTCCACTTGGCCGCAGCTCCTAGGACCCATAGCTCCAGCATATTGTCCCAGCCACCATCTTAGGGACAAACTTAGGAATATAGTTTTGGACCTTGTTATGAACAAGCATTGCATATCATAACTAGATTGTCGTGTTGCTTTGCACCTTGAACTTTCAGTCACTGTCACAAATAAAAGCACACATCATATCAAAGGTAGACATGATTTTTATTGTATTTAGCAAGCAAAGCACAGAGTTCAAGTTCAAATAAGGTTCTTCAGAGCATATGATGTAGAAGCCTTTAGGGCATTATCTGGTTGAAGGACATGAAGTGGGCTGACTAAAAGTTGCAGTTTGTCTACATTGGGCTTGTGATGCTCTGGGCTGTTGTGGGGGGGAGGGTGCTAGGCACTGAGAGAAGATGGGTCAGAATGGCTGGGTGCTCTCATGGGCTACTATTTGTTGTAAAGTTGATCAGTTCCCTCTCTGTTGAAAACATCTGTATAGTAAGGATACTAAATTCCTTATATGTGACCTTGAGGAGCTCAAAGCAGCAAGCACATCCAGCTAGACCCTCATAAGACATTGAGGGCAGAAAAAGGATGCAAACAACATGACCTTCCTGTTTCCTGTTGCATCATCCATCATGAACTTTGGCCATCACGATGCACTGCTGCTCTTCTACACAGACAGAAGATAACGAAGGCCAAGTGGACCACACTCTTGGGGAACAGGCTGAGGTAGGTGTAGAATGCCAAGGTATTGGTAACTTGAAGCTGCAGCTGATCTAAGAGAATCCTGTAGTTAGTTCCATCTGCTCTTTTTTGTTTGTTTGTTTTTGTTTTTTCGAGATAGGGTTTCTCTGTGGTTTTGGAGCCTGTCCTGGAACTAGCTCTGTAGACCAGGCTGGTCTCGAACTCACAGAGATCCGCCTGCCTCTGCCTCCCGAGTGCTGGGATTAAAGGCGTGTGCCACCACTGCCCGGCTTCCATCTGCTCTTTTGACAGAATAGAACAGATAGGCAGATAGGGGACTTTTTTTCTGGTGACCTGAATTGAGTGACAAAATCTTGCACTCTTACCAGAACCAGCAAGAGGACTCATCTTGGAAGTCAGATTGATAACAACCCCTGATAAGTTCATATAATCTTACTACTACTGAAAAGAGAAATTGCACTTGGGGTAGATGGATCCTTTTGAAGGTTAAATGGGGAATAAGTTTAGAATTCTTCACTTTCACTGTTTCTAATTAAAGCAAATAATATCCATCATGTACAAAGCAAATTAGAAACAATATTCTGAGATCTTTGCCCATGAAACTAATCTTTTCAATACGTTGATAGCTATTGGTGAAGGAATTATTTTCATTTCCATTTGCAGAGGGCACAGGAAGGTAGTTTGCCTAAAAGGTACTGAGTAAGTACAGCTGAAGTCTTGGTCCACAGAAGTGACTTTAAAGAACTCTTTTACATCTGCAAGTGTAACTATCACCCCAGATGTAGAATATAAGCATGGGTACAGAGCAGAGCATCTGCAGCGTTGTAGACACCGCCTGCAGTGCTATCAGGAGGCGCTGTGCATGGGAAAGCATGGCAGCACAGCAGGGCGCATGGGAGGTTCTAGACTTCAGAAAAACCTGAAGGGACTTGTCAGTCCAGACTTCCCAAGACTCTCACCCGTCTCTCTCAAGGCTCTCATTAGTTTATAATGGGCAATTGGAACCAAAATATTTTGCAGTTTTATAAGAAATATGTGTTGTCATCAATTAAGACAATGATGGAATTGGAAAACCACAGTAACCACTTGGTGAGTCAAGGCCATGTTTGTTTGTTTGTTTGTTTGTTTTTCTGCATAAGAGATCTCAAATACTGAATATTGCAAACTCTGTCCTTGTTCAGGTCCATTCTTTATGTGATACCTCAAACTCTTAGCTCATGGCTTTGAGAAAATGGATGAACAGTCACCCCTATAATAAGTATATGAGTCTCCTTTTGGTGCATATGTAGGGATAAAGGACCCAGAAACTACTACTCACTATGCTTACTAAATATAATAACTATGCTGGACATGTGACATCTAGACACACTTGAAATAACTGTGAATTTGAGGTATTATTCTCCATTGTCACATGAAGAAAATTTTGCTTACACAGTGGAAGTCATTCATGCATATTTGTGCACACTGATCGTTAAAATGACTGGACCACTAGTCTGATAGGTATCAGTCTGAAGGCTATGTTCTTCCCAATTCATGTGATATTGCACCATAGGCAATTCCTTACACTGAATTAGAGGGAAAACACACAACTGAGTAATGATCAAATTGCCATTTGATGACCTGAGTTGGAACCCACCCCCCAGATATGGATTGTGACATGTCCAGAGGACTTCATGTTTGCTTACACAACTGAAAAGTGGAGGACACTGTTACAGTGTATGAGAAAAGTAAATGAAGTATGCAACATATACACATAAACCCAAATCAAGGGCCTTTTGTCTAAAATGAACTCTGTAAGTGCAGGAAATGTGGTGAGTACCAGGAGGGGAAAAAAAAGCCTACTAAAAGATTCTGTAGCCTCTAATCAAAGTCATACTGTATGAAGATCAGTTGTTGACTAGGAAGTAATGGGTCAAATTACACTATCACTCAGTTTCTCATGCAATTCCAGTCATTATGACTTTTCTTTAAATCAGAGAAGTTCAAAGTTACAAAGATTAAGATCATGTTCTCTCTAATAAAATAAAGGTAAACAGACAATAAGACATACCCTTTCTTCTTTCCAAGCAAGCTTCCAGATCAGTGGAATTATTAACTAGAAGAAATGAGAAAAAGTTCTAGTGAGTTACCTTGGCTATTATTTGACATGTTCTCTCTCTCTCTCTCTCTCTCTCTCTCTCTCTCTCTCTCTCTCTCTCTCTCTCTCTCTCTGTATTCCATGAATATATTATATTACCATTGGTTAATGAAGAAGCTGCTTTGATCTATGGCAGGGCAGAATATAGCAAGGCAGATAAAGCTGAGATAGAGAAAGAAGATGGAGTTAGGCAGACGCCAAGTAGCTGCCAAAAGAGAAGGATACCGGCCACAGCCTCATGGTGATATATAGGTTAATAGAAATGGATTGATTTAAGATATAAGAGCAAACTAGGAATACTCTTGAGTCATTGGTCAAACAGTGTTGTAATTAATATCATTTCTGGGTGATTATTTGGGTCTGGGTGGCTGGGAAACAAATAAGCAGTCTCAGTTTACAAAATGTGTGTGTGTGTGGTGGGGGGAGAGAGGTTGATCTCATCAGATAGAAGTGATAATGAAAGCTCATACTTGTAGAGTGATGATTGCTACACCAGGCAATGTATTAAATGATTCACATTCATTGTATTTAATTCCACAGTAGGACTTAAATGAATTAAATTCTGAATGGCTCTATGTGGAAGAAAGAATTAGGCTTTAAAGATATAGTCAAAAATCTTACATGACTTCTTTATGACAGTTTCTTTGTTTGGGAAATAAATTCATTGCTAAAAGTGCTTGTCTTGAAAACATAACAATCTAAGTTTGATCCTCATAACACATGTAAAAATGCTAGACTTGGGTACATTCTGTTTTGTTTTGTTTGTTTGTTTGTTTTTTGAGACAGGGTTTCTCTGTGGTTTTGGAGCCTGTCTTAGAACTAGCTCTTGTAGACCAGGCTGGTCTCGAACTCACAGAGATCTGCCTGCCTCTGCCTCCTAAGTGCTGGGATTAAAGGCACCACCATCTCCCGGCTTTTTTTGTTTTGTTTTGTTTTGTTTGTTTGAGACTTGGGTACGTTCTGGTAGTCCCTGTACTGTATAGGCAAAGGAAGAAGAGCTGCCTTAGGCTAACTGGCCAGGCAGTCTAGCTTAATTGTTTGTTTGCTTTTTAACATTAATCCGAAGATGTCCAGAAGGCGAGATGATAGAGCGTAGGAAAACAGTTTCTCATTAGACAAAGGCAAGGATAAATTAAAACTTACCATGTTCATGTCTCAGAACACTTTCTCTGGGATTAATAATTGTGAAAGCTGAAAGAAATTAAAGTGATAGTTATTCATGCTTATTATTTGAAAGTGTGTGTATTAATGCAAATGCAGTTTGTATTAATTGATACAGAGACTGGAGAAGCCATATTAAAAAAATATAAAGCTTGCAATTCCCAGAATAATTGATGTTACTCTGAAATTCCATAGAAAACAGTTGTCACCTGTTTTTGTACACAAAAAATTTCAAAGATAGTGAAGTGTACATAACTTCTTTTTCACCACACCTGTGATACACTATTTCACTACTAATTGGAGTTAAGGCCAATTCTATAGGTGGAAATCTAGCTGGTACTGGAAACTAGCCAGCTTCCCAGCCTAGTGAAGTCATAAACCTTAGGAAAAGAATCTACTACCACCAATTTACTAGATCTGCACAATTTTTCTAAACATTATACCTACAAATAAGTGTAGCTCTTGCCCCTCATCAAAGAAGTTTTCTTTTTCACCAAATGAAGACCAAAACAGAAATGGACAACTGGACACAGTGCAGAGATCAATGAACTGTGAAAACCCAGCCCTGATGTATACATCTACATCAACATCACAGTCCTGCACCTACGACTAGGGGACATCCCGCAAGAGGAAGAAGACAGACTGTAGCCATAATACCAGGAAGTCTTCTGTGAAACAATCTGTCCCAGAAAGGGCTGCATAAACAAGATGGAAACAGCAACAATATCAGTGGACATGTTAATGTAGAAGGGAGAAAACTTGGGGTCCCACAAAGAACTACAGGAAACTATTGACTTCTGAAAGGAGAATTAGCCTCTCTCAGGGATGAAACTCCTTATTGTTTGTCCAATGTAGAGTAGTCAGCTTTAAAACCATATACATACAAACAACAAAAATAGATTCCGCAGGTTCTACTTAAATATTTTTGCAAATGAACACAGACACAGACACACAGAGAGAGAGACACACACACATTCCTTTGAAGTCTGGGGCACTGGAGGAGATTGGGGGAGAATAACTAGAAGGTGCTGGAGAAAAGAAAGGTAAATGGGAAGTGGGATGTAATTCTCTTTCAGTTAAAAGCATTAAAAATAATTTTGAAAGGAAGAAATTATCATCTGAGGGTTAATAAAGGACGTGGAGATTATCATGTAAAACAATAAAACTGACATACAAAAACAGATGCTGCATGATGTCTCTGAGTTGTAGAGACTATGAATACATAAATATCAAAGAAGAATTGTGGATTCCAACAAGAGTGGAGAAGGGCTAGTGATGGTAACCAGGGGCAAAGAGGAGCAAAGTGAAAGTACACATGCATGAAAATGGTGTCATGAAACCCATTGTTTGTACACTAACAAAAAGGGGGGTTCTGAATTGTGTGTAATTGCAGGTCATGGACTACAGCTACAATGCCTTTTGATATGCGGCACTACATCTTTTTCTAGATGAGCAACCCTTTGCCCTCAAGCCCTGAATTTATTATCCTCCAAAATGAACTACTCTATAAAGAATACATTGTTTTCTCTTCATTTCTGTGCGTGTTTCTGTAGCCACATTCTGGGAAAAGACAAGAGAAGCCTGTGTAGTTTTTTTTTTTAAGTGTCTGGTTCTCTGAATTGAAATTGAGGTGTTGGTTTTATTTATGTTCATAAGCAATGCTAGAATAACTTGATATCACTGTTTTCCCAGTCATTAAATGATGGGCAAATGGATGTGTAGTGGGGGGGTTGGATAGATGGATAGATGGATGGATAGATGGATGGATGGGTGGGTGGATGGTGGAGTGGTTGGGTGGTTGATTGGATGGATGGATGGATGGATGGATGGATGGATGGATGGATGGATGGTTGGATGGATGGATGGATGGATGGATGGATGGATGGATGGATGGATGGGTAGTAGGGTGATTAGATAGATGGATGGGTGGATGGACTAGGGTCTCTTTTGTAGTTGTTCAGAGCATCTCACTGAACTCTCATTTGTTAATTTGCTACGTTAATATGATGTCAAGGGAATGACTGATTTTTATAAATGTCACTCAGTCTGTTCGGCAAAATTCAGTTGTTCTGTTTTTCTACTGAAAGCAAGGTGGATTCAAATGTTTAGATGGTTAAGAGGAAGACAATATAATCTAAAACTTACCATTTTCAGTTTTCAAAGAAGCTTCTGTGGGATCAATGATGTTGGCAACTAAAGGGAAAAAAGCAAACATTAGTCAACTATCTATGGCTATGACTTCACAATATATATGTGTGTGAATATATTCATATACCTATTTGTACACATTTGCATATTAAATATAATGTCAACAGAAAGATATCCAGTATAATATGAGCCCTGCAATCCCAGAAACATTAATTGCGCTGCATGTAATTCTGTGGGTGACATTCATATAAGATGTTTCTACATGTGAACACGTTGAATTCACAAAGATTGCACCATTATAATCTCAATGTAAAACTTTCTAAAACTTCCCTCCCAGACCCACTTTTCTTGTGTACTCATAGGTACTAGAAAAGCTTCTGCTTCAAAAGAGAGGATGTACAAATTCATGCTCAATAGAAAAATAAGCAAAATATTGGTTGACATGTGGGCTTGCGTATACTTGACTTGATGTGTTGATGTGTCACACTGTGAAAAAAAATCAAGCCTGGTCTATCCAGTAAATTCCAGGCCAGCCATGTCTACAGAGTATGATCCTGACAAAAAAGAAAGAAAGAAAGAAAGAAAGAAAGAAAGAAAGAAAGAAAGAAAGAAAGAAAGGAAAAGAAAAACCTGCTAAGATTTCAATTCTTTTTACTATAATATCTGAAGGTCCCAGTGCAGTTATTTCTGGGGATGAACAGACAATCCAAGTTATATTTCTAGTTTCCTTTGTGAAACTTGAGACAGTGGTACCTATGAGTTTTTTTTAAAAAAAAAAAACAAAAATAATGTTCTTGCTTATTTTAAATAGTATTAGAGAAGCACACACTTGTTCTTTGAGCTTATTCTTCTGCTAAATGTGTTCTCATAGGTGTGGATTTCTTTTTACTGTGGAATGTTACTGAAGAACAAGTTCTGTGTTCATTAAAATGGATTTGGGTGTGTTTGGCAAAAATGTAAATATAGTCATGTTTGCTTTCTGTCTTCAAGATCTGTTTTAATGGCTCTAGAAATCTATTTTTATCCTTTTAATAATTTTATTAACTAAAAGATAAATAAAACCTCTACCAGCGTGACTTATTGAGGTACGAAAGAATAAATAGGGTTACTAAGAATATAATCTATGAGTTTATAAACTCTCTCAGACTAAGGTAATTGCAGTGTTAGTGATCAGCTGCATGTCCTTTGATAATCATCTCATTAAGTTTTTTTTTTAATCAAGACAAACTACACAAAACAAAACGTCTTCTCAGAGACAGCATTAGAAGTTCTTTGCTGAAAGCTGTTACCAAAAAATGCCTTGATTTCTTTCCTGCATGAGGCACGCACAGCAAACACTTTTTTCAGAGTCCATTGTAAGTAAATTGTAATAAATAACTGGAACCTCTCCTCTGCATGCATTCATCACCAATGGTTTTACCCTTCTTTATTTTTCCTTGACCACTAGAAAAGTTCCAACATAATTAAACCAATAGAATGTCTATGCTAACTTCCAGTTTGTATATTTGTCTTGCCTTTATCTCTTTAAGCTGGAAACTGAACATGGGGACTCTCTCGTAATGATTTGCTACGCTGTGGCAAACAACAACAACTTCCTTCATTGCCAGTAATTTGTTTTCTCTTCATAAAAACCCTAGGCAAAGGTGGGCATCTTTACAGACTTCACTGGTCGCTGCTGAAATAAAGTCTTCCAGAGGATGAAGACTTAGTGAGAACGTGTAACGGCTGAATGGCAAAGATGTCCCCATGTGTTGAACTTTGTGTATTTCTCTACTAGATCAATAGGGTTTTGTTAACCACATGGGAAAAATAAAGGATTCTGTTTCTCTGTCATTCTGGGTCCTTCGGTATGCTTTCAAGACTCAGGATAAGAACACACCCATATGGAGAGCTAGCTACTGTCCCATTACCTGTCTTTGCCTACTCACTCTTCTGCCTAGCTGTGTCTAGGACATGGCTCATGAATAATGCATGGTTCTAAATGATGCGAAAGAGTACGAGCTCTTCACTGAAGCCACTGGGTCACTACCTCATCCATTCATCCACGTCTCACTCAGAGCTGGCCTGCAGGTGACAGAGCAATTGTTTACCCAAATGGCAAGAAAACAACTCACCATGGAAGTGTTGTATATGTGAGCCTCATCCAGGCTTAAATTAGGAATGATATCAACAGTGACATGTAAAGCAAAAATCAGAACTCTGAAGGCTGCCATAAATCTTCAAGGGCCAAATGGTTCTACTTTTTATTCAATATAAATGTTTTATATGAGCACTATCTTGTCAGTTAAAAAGTAAATGAACTTAAAGACAAAATTTAGTGCATTTACATTGAATTTGGAAGTTTTGTTTATTTTACATGGTGGAACATTTCTGAAAAGGTGTGTATTGTTCTTGTGTATGAATCAAGTACAGACAGCAAAAGTGGAAACAGCATTTCAACATTTCATGCCCTGAATGGCTAGATGCCTTTAGATATGTTGTTTCATTTAATTCATGCATCAATTCTAAAAAAAATTTGTTTAGTATTTACATATTTCACATAGTGTAACTGAGGCTGAGTAAATTAAAAACAAACATTTTGCTATTTTTTTCCTATAACATTCTGTGAGACATGCCTGGTTTTATGTTTATAATATATGTAGTAAGATTTAAGAAAGATTCATTTTTTATCAATACATATTATAACAATAGGATCATTCCCTTTTACATATGTTTTCTGGAAATACATTTACGTTAATGTGTACATACCTTTATCTATGGGAGGAAAGAGAATCTCTTGATCAACTCCTCCCTTATTGTTTTCATGTTTGACTATGCATCCATACTCCTTATTCATTGAATCTTCAGCGACAGTCAGCCAACTTAACTTCATGTATGTATCTTTAGTCTTCATGGTATTTCCCTCTTGAGGTTCCAGAACCTTATCGCTACCCTTTTCTCTCCAATATACACTTATAACATCAGGGAAGAATTTCTCGAGGAGACAAAGGTATGTCCCAGCCTTATGGAGATTTGTTTCAGCAACAGAAGGGAGAAAAATGGTAGGCTTGGGGAAAATGTCTGAATCGAAGCGTTTGCCTGTAGGAAAGTATAAAATATAAAAATAGAATTACCAGGGAGATTCAACTGTTACATGGATTTGGCAGAATCTGGAACACTGTGCTAGGAAGACAAATTATGACTGAGTTAGCACCTACTGTAGACTTTCACCCTTCATTAGGTTGCAGAGATTTACTATTGTCCTCATTTTAGAGATACGTGATTAGTAGAGGTTTTTGCATGACTTCTAGAAGTCAGTTGTTGACTGGAGGGGCCTAATTGAAATATGTCTTTTGTTATTCCACAAGCCAGCACGGATTCTTTGCTACATCTCCTGTGGTTTTTGTTTTTTTGTTTTTCAGATTAGATCACATTTTCAAGATGGATGAAGGAGTATTGAGAATAACTATATGATGTCTCTGAGGACTGGGATCTACACTCCCTGATGGCTAGGCTTCCCTCCCACTAGTCTCTTAGACTGTCTGGCTAAATCACTCTCCCATGCATTAGCAATTCAATTAGCCCACCCTCCACTTAGATGACTCTCAAATGTGCTTCTTTTGTATGATCTCACAAATGAGATGTTGAGAAGCAAGTTGCCCGTTTTAGTGGCCGTTTTGTCCATTGTACAATAGCATGCACTAAGTTGATCCCTTGCCTGTGCCTGTGGATCTCTGCCCAGTTCTGCAGCTCTTACTCTTTCTCTGTCATCCACAGCATCTCGTTTCCACATCTAAACCACTCTAGGCTTGAGAGCCGGGCTGTTTTTAAACTTTCCCTTCCCAGTGATTGACAGTGTCTAGAACTGTAGATTTGGGGACAAGTCTACAACGTCTTTAAACAATCTGACAGAGTTATATACTTACATGTTCTGTTTGGCTTTAGAAAAAAAACTTTAACTTTTTGTTTCATTTAGAGTTGAAGCATTACTAAGATAAAATAGGAATATGTTTCTCAAATGTGTCTGAATATAAATTTATCTGATTTAAGAGACACTTGATCCATCTCTGGCATCCAAGTTTAAACTCTATGCTTCTCCTAGAATTTGTCAACACGATGTGGTTTGCTATCTACTTGTCCAAATAAGCTTTCACTAATAGTCACATACGTTTGATTGTTACATGTAAGTATTACATAGTTTGTGTATGAGCATTTTATAGTTCACACATACATAAAGCTAAATCCTATTACGTTATTTGTACAATGTTCATGTTCTCCTTTAATAAAATTGTTTGCATCAAAAATTCTTGTAAAATTTCTACAGCCATATCCATCATGTTCATTTCTCCTTGGTACTCCTACTATTTTCTGGTTTGGTTGTCTTTTTTCTTCCCTCTAATCCTAGAAAGAGTAAAATCACTGACAAGTGTTGTTCTTGGGCTGAAGATTTTCTGCTTAAAAACTCCACAGTGACTCAACACAGATAAAACAACTTTAAAGTTCCTGATTCTTGAGGTTCAGTTGGCAACATAGGTGTATGACAGATTGTGTCTCTGAGCAAATCAAACTACACTTTGAGGAGTACTACTTAAAAGACCTTCTATAGAAAGGTAGCTTTATATAGTAGCAATATTAGTGAATAGTCTTCACAGAATTCTAACTTCTACTTATGTGTATGCATTTTAAATACAGGATCGCAGTTTGCTGACCAACAAAGAAAGAAGAAATTGCTTACAAAGTAGCTTTATTTCTATTTTCAATAACTCATAACTGCGAAGCTGTGGCCGGATACGGTTAATAAATTGTTTTTCAATTTCTAAAAATGAGAAAAATCTCATTGGTTACTCACTACTAAGTCAGCAGTAAAGCAGCTTCCTTACCTGAGGGAATTACTATGAGCTTTGTCCCTTTTGAAAATTTCTTGATCCATGTTGAGCTGTCACACTGCTCAGACCTTCTACAAAAACGTGAGCCCTCGCTTGAGCTGCAGTATGATGAGACTTTTAGAAACTCTGTCTTACAAAGTTGACCTGGATTCCTTTGGAAAGTTTTCTGTTATCCGGGAGTTTTTAAGTTTCTGTGTGAACTGACCTCACAAACTGTTCTCTCTTCTGAGGCAACAGTTACTGGAAAGTACCAACAAACAATGGGAAGGTGAAAAGCAGAAGGAGGCTGGGCCATGCCACAAACCAACAGCTTTCCTATGTTAGCAGGAAACATTCTGAGAATTAACTCCCAGATGCTTAATATTGCTGAAACTGCTAAGGTAATTCATCAAATATGCCTCTATTCTCAGAAATATCAAGGCTATGACTTCAGCAATTTGGGAACTTCTTAAGGGAGAAAGCTCTCCAGCCATGGCAATGGAAATGTAGCAACCGAGGATGCTGAGCCAAGCCTTCCACACTCTAGGAAGTCACACGATCTCTTGACAACATGATTTATTATCAGGGTGGTGGCAACTAGTAAATGGTTTCTTTGATGATTTCTTGTTCTCTCTCATATAAGAAAATAAAATTATACAATTCTATCTTCCATAAAATTATAAATCCTTTATTTACACTGGAAGGAGGAAATTAATACCCAGTGCTCTGTAATTCTGTTGGGGGAACCCTAAGGGCAGTTCTGTGATCTTCTGAAACTCACCTCTGAAGGAGAGGAATGGCCAGAAACCTGGAGCACAAGAGAAGCTCCTAAAAGACCTACCTGGCCACCATGTCATCTCCAGATCCAGCAGCCCAGGTTTAAGTTACATGAGCAGACATGAACTCTGTCCCTAAAGATGGAGGTTGGTAATCAGTACAACCATCCATGAACAGTCCACTCACAGTCACCAATGCAGATGGGAGGACAAAACTGTAGAAGAAATTATGTCCTGATTATGGTATTAAATGTAAATGTTTAAAATTTTAGTTTTACATATGTCAGTATTTTGCCTGCATATATGTTTTGCATAGCACGTGCATGCTCAGTGCCAATAGAAGCCAGAAGAGGGCATGAATGCCCTGGAACTGGAGTTACAGTCAGTTGTGGACCTTTGAGTGAGTGCTGGGAGCCAAACCCAGGACCTCTGCTAGAACTGGGGAGATAGGTACATCCATCTCAACTTTAGACTTCTGACCACCTAGCCAAAGAAATTTGCTTTAGACTTTGTTTTGCTTTTAAGTTTTTCCATTAAATGAACAACTTAAAGATGACATAACATGTCCTTGCACTATTTTAATGTGCATTAAAAACAAACCTGTGTATTTTAGATAGCCGCATATATTTAGTTTTCTAAATAATTACCTGCACTAATATGGTGCTAACAATCCAGAACATCAGTTGAATGCCTCAATTGTTGAATGAGGGATTAGTACGGGCATTACAAAACTTTATGTGTGTTATTTGATGAGCCCTCTTAATAGTTCATTAAGGTTAATATTGTTTTGTTCTCCATTGAAAATTGGAAAAATTAATTAAAGATATATAATTTAACCAAAGTCACACAATGTCAGGGAGTGTGTATGTAACAAAGATTGATTTAGTAAGCACTGAGAAATAAAGGAAAATAAAGATAAATTGAACACACCTGAGCCAACTCTTGTCATCCCAAACTACACCATCATGTACAGAACCCTCCAGAAAATCTGCCCGTTTCTCAGGTAGGACACCACACTACTCATCTCTGGTACTCCAACTCCCACCACCAGAAGACATTGCCTGCTCCCCAAGTTCTAAAGACAACAGCCCTGACAACTATGGCACCCCATTATTTCCATGCCAACTCAAGCAGAACACCAACTGGTGAGGCCAGAGATAGTGTACTTCCCAAATGGCTGGCATCCGTACAGCTTCCTCACTCATAAATCCGTATGGAGTGCCTCCATTGCTGACCTTCAGCATCATCTAACTGATATAAAACCAACGAAGCCAAGGGAAGATCAAGCATAGATCTAAACACCCACTCACAGTGAAGGCAGGCCAGAAACTTACACCAACAACTGAACCAGCAAATTACCTCCAGGTGTGCAAATCTAGTGTTAAAACATGATGAATAGGAAAAGCCGAGACTGTGTCTCCTCTAAAATTACCAAATACGCAGTTCCCAGTGAGAATGATTTACACGAAACTCCAAAAAAATGTTTTTTTTAATTATAAATACATTCTAGGAATTCAGTTAATATGAATTAACTCTCAAATGGATACAAATACACCCTTGACTACACAGAGTGGACCAGAGGTGGGTGACCAGCCTCTCGGCTGGACAGCCCAGTCTCTAGGCCCAAGGCCTCAGGGCAAAAAATCTGCCCTCCCACCTGCCTCAGCCACAAGAGCAAGCCTTCTTCAGGCAGATTGCCCCAAGATTGACAGCTGAACCAATCTCGTGAAAACTCATGAACTCTAGACCTACAGCTGTGGAGCCTCCATGGGACCGAATCAGACCCTCCATATGTGGGAGACAGTGGTGAAACTTGGACTATCTGTGAAGCACCTGGCAACAGAACCAGGATCTATCCCTGGTGCAAGAGCTAGCTTATTGAAGTTCATTCCCTACGGTTGGATGCTATGTTCAACTTTAATGCAGGGGGAGGGGCTTGGTCCTGCCCCAACTAACTGTGCTTGTTTACTTCCCATGGGAGCCCTTACCCGTTGCTAGGAATGGATAGGTGGTGGACTTGGGGGAAGATGGGAAGGAGGAGGGAGGAGGGCATGGAGAGAACTGTGGATGGAATATAAAATAAAATTTAAAATATCATTTAAATTTTAAAAAAGAATAAACTCCTGAGCTACACATGGTGGCACATGCCTTTAATCCCAATACTTGTTAGGCAGAGGCAGGTGGATCTTTTGAGTTCAAGGCCAGTCTGGCCTGCAAAGCAAGTTCCAGGACAACCAGAGATACATAGAGAATTAAAAAAAAAAGTCCTGGATGAATTCTAAGGGATTCAAACAAATAGCTGAATAAAATAATGAAGAGAAAGGCAGGCAGTGGTAGTGCACTCTTTTAATCCCAGCACTCGGGAGGCAGAGGCAGGAAGATCCCTGTGAGTTCAACGCCAGCCTGGTCTACAAGAGCTAGTTCCAGGATAGGCTTCAAAGCTACAGGTAAACCCTGTCTCAGGAAAAAAAAAATAATGAAGACAATTGAGAATCTGAAAATAGAACTGACCAAAGTGGTAGAGATAGGGAAGAAAATTCAATCAGAAATGATGCTGGAAGTGTAGAATTCAGTCGGTCACATTATGAAAAGTAGAATGGAAAGTGTCAACAATGCATGATCATGTGGAGAACAGAATATAAGAATGTGGAGGCAAGGTGAAAGAATTGGATCATTAGGTCAAAGAAAACAATGAATCTTAGCCATAAGAATGCAACATGCGAGGCCTTTGGGACATGCAGAAAAGAACAAGCCTAAATATGTATAGAAGATGGAGGAGAATTACAAGCCAAAGATGCAGATGTATCCTTATCAACTTTACCAAAACTTTACCAAAACCATGGAGAGGCCCAAATTGTAAGTACATCTATTATTAATGCTAATTACACCAATAATATCAAAAACTCTCTTCTGCCTTGCACTTCCCTGCCCTCCTCCCCTCTGAACTAAGTATCTTACTATGTTGCTGCCCTCAATACCATGCCATTCTTTCCTTGACCTTCCAAATGTTGTGATTAATACAGCACCTACCTGAGGATACTTTCTGAGATCAGAATTTCCCCCCATTAATTCTTTGAAGTATCTTTGTGAAACATAGCGCTCACTTCAATGGGAATAGAAGATGAAGCATCTCAGAGGGAACTATAAGTGATCATTGCGCAGGAACACGGGTTGAGATGATTACAGATGCTGTGTTCCAACATGTGACCGTTTAATGAAATTTTTGTGGTAATGGAACAAAACAAAGTCATCAATCAGGGCACTTTTCAAATACTTTGGTGAAAATATGAAGCATGTGGGTTGTAGCAAAGCGGGGAAATCTGTAGTATGATTAGTAAAAAACCCAGAGACAGAAATTCGGATTCAACCTGAAGGTCAGAAAAGCAAAACAACCAGCCACTCACTGGCTCTTACCTCTACCTCAGTCCTAAATAGTGATCCGGCCTCCAGGAATCTCAGAATGAGACTGTGTCTGAGAGCTGTCTCCTCCCATTTTATATTCTTCTCCAGGGTTGGGATTAAAGGCATGAACCACTACCACCCGGTTTCTATGGCAAACTAGTGTGGCTACTGGGATTAAAGGTGTGTGTCACCACTGCCTGATCTGTAAGGCTGATTGGTGCAGCTGTTTTACTCTCTGAACTTCAGGCAAGCTTTATTTATTAAAATACAAATAAAATATCACTACATAAATCTCTACCATAGACATCAGATAATATCTCATAGCATAAGGTAGTGGCAGCTAGTGATCTGCCAACATATTCCAAAAGGATTTATCTGTTAGTTACAAAGATGCTTGTTCAGACACTATCAAGGACAATTAACAATTATTAAGTAGTTAATGACAGTCCAGGATAATTTGACCTCAAAACCACAACATTTCAATTCTTACCGCCATGGAGATTCTAGCAGTTTCTCCCTTGGAACTTCAGTCTATACAAAGTAGATTTCAAGGGCGTGGGAGAGGAATTTTTAGTTTTATACTTTTAATGTTTGTTCCTTGGATGTACTCAATGATCCCACTACTAAACTCAGAATAAACATTAATTATCAACTATTGTTTTCTATATTGCTGCTTTCTGAGATGAAAGGAGATGTAGTACTGGTTTTTTTTGTTAATTTATTGTTTGAGACTTTCATACATGTATATAACACATTGTGGTCACACTAACCAACCCACTCAGTTATCTGCTTCATCCTAATCCCTCCCTTTCTAACCAACCCACCAAATATAGCATGCTGATTTTTTTTTTGCTCTGTGACCCACTGCATTTCTTGATGCTATTGCTTTTTCTTTTCATTATTTTCTTAGCAGATAAATGAAGTATAGGGGTAGAGCTTGCTTTGATTCAGCTGTGATTCCAAGGCTGTGGACCAAGCTTTGTCACACTGAACCACTTTCTAAGCATTGTACTTGATTTCTAATATACCCCGGTAAACTGATTATTACTTTCAGGTGAAATGGCCACTAGCTTTCTGCACTATAAACTATAGATTGTAACTAAAGACAGACCTCTCAGTTTCTGAAAATCTCCAGTGCTTGCAAAGGATCCAGGAAACTATAAAGGGAAATATCCCTGTGGGATGCAGGTCTCTCCTTATATTTTGCCCTCTCCTGACTTAATTCTAAATCATTCACTTGCAGCAAACCTCTGTGCAATGAATTGACAAAAGACCAGATCATGCTGCAAGCTCTCCTTCCTGTATCTGAATAGCTCTCAGACACCCTAACTGAGTAGGAAACAGTGTGGGGCCATCCTGTGCCCAAAACCTCACTGGAGAAATAGAACCCGAGATGTTGCCTGGAAGCTCCGGGGCACTGCGAGGAAAGGCTCGGGTGGCCTCTCAGCTGAGCATCAAGTGGCAAGCGGCTGTGCTTGCTGAGAAGGATGTGGGTTGGCACAGCTGGGAGATGGTTCTTATGCAGGCTGTTCTGGAAGCTCTAATGTTGTGCTACGTCCAGATGGCACAGTAGTAAAAGGCTTCGTCTTCTTTCTTCAGGAAATTTACTTTCAAGGTTGAAGTAGAAGTTTGACGATCTTTACTTACTTCAATTTTCTTGTTTATCCCATCCAAGGGACGTTGATTATAGTTTTGCCTGACATTTATTAGATAGTCGAACTGTTGGTTTTCTCTCTGCCGGTACCAATGTATATCTGTGTCGCTATGGTCTGGAGAGATTTTACAGGCTATTTGGGCACTCTCGCCTATGGCTTTGGTGACTGACATTTCAGGTTGCTCCAACTGCCCAAGCCCAACTGCAAGCAAAGAGAAAATTCTCATGAGCAAAGGAAGCGGCATTTGAAGAAACAGAAATGAGGAGGACTTCATTGCCCCTTGCATGTGGAAATGTCTACTTACACACCCAGAGGCAGGAGAAGGTGAATGCACTCAGGAGCAACATCCCAACTGTCAGGCTGCTTCAGAAAGAGGCAGGAAGTAGTCTGTGAGCTGAAGTCTCAGGTCCCAAGCAGGAGGGTGGGGCTGTCCCAGTGCCTCAGAGAAATGCAGGGTCAGTGGATTCCCCAGGGTGGGTCATGATCTAGTCCAGTTCTGAGCAGTTCTGGGGTTTCCTGCCCCACAGCAGCAGGTCAGATGCATATGTAGGTTAAAGGCCTAAGAAATATCCTTTGTCTGTATGTCTTCATCTGGCGGAGTAGGGAGAATCACCAGTCAGTCCCTCACTCTACTGTAGTTATGCAGCCTGGGTAGAAAAAAGAGACATTTGTTATGTTCTGTCTATGTTTTTGTGATTTGCTATTGATCCAAGACCCAGATACAAAGGTTGACTATGATGTTCTGCACCAGGAAGGAAAAAAAAAAAAACCCTCAGATGCTGTATTTGGCAGACACTCTGTGTATAAGGACATAAATATGTTGTGTTTTCTTCTATCTACTCCAAAGTCATGCAGTAGATTGTGACTTGGATAATTACATTTCATTTCTAATATAGGAACTTTGAAGAGAAACTTGATTAAAATTGTTGACAGGTATAAGCAAGCCCATCTATGCAAAGTGTCATTTCTTCTTAGTGGAGCATGGAGTCAAATATATTAGGTAGAAACAGCCATGATTAACATTCAACGATAGCTTTAATGTTAGTGAACATTAGTGCTTCACAGCCACTGGCGGTTTCTCAGGCATTTGACAAGCTTCATTACATGACTTCATTTAACCCTGTCTACAGCCCTATGCAGTGGGTGCTGTGTTCTTCTCCCTTTGACAAATGGAGAGAGTGGTAAAAAGAAGTTAAATCACACATTCACTAATACAGAACTCTTAGGTACGATGATTCAGATAAGCAAAGATCTATTAATGAATATCTAAGTAGGCTGAAAAGAGTCACCTCTTGCACCCCCCTCTCAGTGTGTCTAGTCCTTGGGAATGCTGTAACCCTTTGCAGCACAGAAATTCTCCTTCAACAGACTGTAAACATGGGCTCTTTCTGCTCCATACATGAGATTCCTTATTGCTGAAATGGAGTTAGATGAATCTTTGGGGCTCCCTGACCATCTAGCCTAAATAAATGAGCATGTTCCAGGTTAGGGAGAGGTCTTGTCTCAAAAACTCAGATGGCCAGTGCCTAGAGACTAGTAGTAAAGATTGTCCTCTGTCCTCCAATGGTACATGCACACATGAACATCCACAGCAAATAAATAAGCAAATAAACATAAAAGAAAGGCGTGAGCATTCGTTACCTTCCTGCACTACGGAGCAAAGCCCTCTGGTGCTCTGTGTATACAAAATACACTTAGAGCAACAGACAACACACATGGAGTACATTGTCAGACTCTTTGATATTGAAGTTGTATGTCAATGCCTTTCCAATTGCGGAGTCGACATTTATCTGTGACCTCATTACAAAGTCAGTAAAATAAAAACTTTAACCCAATTACTCTGAAGGAAGCCAATCCCTCAGATTCTCTCTCTCTCCCTCCTTTTCTCCCTCACTCCTTTTTTCCCTCTCTCCCTCTTTCCTTCTGTACTTGAAATGTAGGCTGAAGCCATGTTCACAAGCGTGTTTTAATGTATCCCTCCTTCACAGTAACCCTTCACAGCCCAGAAACACCTGCACACAAGGATGGTTCCCCATTGTTTCACTCTCTTTGCCCCTTTCTCAGGGAGCCTCCCGCTGCCTGTCTCTGCCTGAGGGATGTCCTATGACCAGCTTAGAGAGGTGTCTTCTGCAGCTGATCTGTGCAGCTCACATTGTCAGAAGTCCCCATCGGTTTTTAGAGGCCACTGTACTGAATGCTTCTCATGGGCTTGATAAATGAGTCACAGACACCCAGTGAGTGTGTGTGTGTGTGTGTGTGTGTGTGTGTGTGTGTGCGGGTGCACACGCGCGCATGTGTGTTGGTGGGCAGGGTGTTCCTCATTTTAGTAATATCAGATATATGAGCAAACAGAAGCCAGGAAGCATTTAAAGGACACAGACCTTGTAGACAGGCAAAATCGGCTCAAAGATATTGCTAAAGGGCTGTCAAACTCTAATCTACTTTTAAGCTTCTTCTATGGGATTTATATTTATGGAGTCCCATAGTCTAATGAATGAAGTACTTTGTTCTTGTTTTTTACTTAGTTTTTTCCAAAAATTACACCCAAATGATTATGTTTCTTAGGCGTCAGAATAAATAAAAGTACCTCCACTTACACTATTTCACTAATTCCTTTTCTTTATCATCTACTTCACAAACACAAACCACTGTCGCCATCTCCTGAAACAGTTCCTAATAGAAAACAATGGTCAGGAGAGTTTGTGACAGAAGAGGACACAAGGCGGCGCCACTATCCAGCAATTGGAGGCTTCTCCCTCTGACTTCCTAGGAGAGAGCAGCTGCCTGGAGACCTTGATTGATCTGAGTGTGGAGAAGAAGTGGAGTTGACCAGAAAGACTCCGTAATGTAGCAGGCACCTAGGAAAAGCCGCCAGCCAAACCCCACGATCAAAACATAGAATTCTGGGTAGGGAGCTGCTGAAGATGAAAAGGCCAAGAGGAGGGGACCCGCTACAGAGTGCCAGGGTTCTGGAAACTTACTTCAGGCTCCCAAACAGGGCAGAACAGGAGAATTCGAAAGCAGATGTGGGCAGACGAAATCTGTCCCAGGCGGAGGGAGCTGGTAGAGGACCAAGGTTGGAGGGTCTGACTCTCTGAGTGGGAAACAGGAGGCAGTGAAAAATGCCCTGGATGGGATCTCCAGGAACCAAATTGTGAGATAGTGGAGGAGCGAATGAGCGGACACTCGTGTCTCTGCGGTGGGCAAGGCAGACATCAGGGACAGGCTGTGGATTTAGAGGAAGACACACCCCACGTTGTGTTACCTGAGGCCCTGTGTTTAACTTACAGCGGTCTGTGGGCAGCCTAATATGTTCACAGGGAGCTCCAGAGAGAACTGTCTTGAAATGCTTTAGGATCTCTCCTCCCTCTGCTCAAAGATAATTAAAGCCAAGGCTGGTAAGCGACTGTTCAGAGTCAGTGAGGTGATAACCCAAGAGAACTCTTTTAGGGGTAGATTTTGAAGAGCAGTTTTTCAAAGTGCCCTAACAGAGATCTGGGTTAGAAAGAAAAACATTTAAAAAAAAAAAAAAAACTAGTGATCTAGAAATTATGCCTAGTTTTGAAGAGACAGCTCTGGGATTTGTTAGAAATAGTTAAAAAATTTGAGAAAAGACACAGACCTAAAATGTGAACAAAGATGAACTACCAGGGATCAGTAACCAGACTGTAACTGTGGCCGGGACAAGTCCATGCTCAGAGTTTAGAGGAAGTGATAGGCTTGGAAGCAGAGACTGATGTAGAGTCTACAGAGGAAATCTGCTTCCTGGTTTTCTCCACACAGTTCACTCAGCCTGATTTTTCTAGGTCCCAGGACCACCAACCCAGGGATGGCACTGCCCATAGTGAGCTGGGCCCTCCCATATCAACCAATATTCACCCAAAAACCTTCCACAGAGTTGCCTTTAGGCCAATATTCTGGAGCCTTTTTCTCAACTTAGAGCCCCTCTTTCCAAAGGACTCTAGCTTGTGACAAGTTAACATAAAACTAATATACTACCTTTATATCTATAATAAACACATTTTTTCTTCTTCCTCTTTTCTTCATACACACACACACACACACACCATACACACATCATCATCATCATCATCATCATCATATCTTTGCTAGTGATGCTATTACTGTTTGTGGAGGGAACACTAACATATGAAGAAAATCTTATAAAAAGTCATTCCAAATTTAATTTCGCTCAAATTGTCAATCAAGGTTCCATTTGAACACTACAAATAAGCCCCTTGTTTACCGCCTCTGACAAAGTGTGGTCCTGCTTTCATCTTGTTAGGGACAGAGAAATAGTATCTAAGGTTGATGGAAAGAAGAGTTTTTGCCTGGACGGAGCCTTGCCAGATGGCTCTCTGTTCAGCTCTACTTCTTCAGTGGTTGCCTGGAGCACCCAGAGCACGGGCTAAGTTACAGGTAAGTGGCACACAAGGAACTTTGTACCCCTGAAGATTCATAGAGATTCTGCAGCATCCAGGGATTACTTAAAACAAGTATGACTATCGCTTAAATTTAACCATTTCTCCATCACTGACCCAGAAACCATTTAGAACATAGAACAGGAAACAGAGGGGCTGAGGCTTTTGTGGATGCCTGTGAAGATGCACAAAAGTTATTTCTGCAAACGTGTCCAACATAAATACAAAATACAAAATCCTAACTTATTTGAAGAAGCAAAATTAAACAATCAATTGAATATTTGAGGAAATAGTGATAAGAACATCACTCTGCCATTCAGGAAATAAAGTCACAGAATTCTTTGATTTTATGATGAATGTAAATCTCTCCAAACTTCAGAAATTAATGGATCATTGAGAAGGTTTTATGGAGCACAAGATTCTCTTAAAGTTATTGCTGGTTAAGATGAGAAAGACCACTTTTTTGTCACACACAGTCTTGTTGAACTAATTAATGATTAGCATCCTTTTTCCCTCTAGTTTTTGACTCATACAGGGTATAACTCCAAAAGAGCAAAACAAGCAAACAAACAACCCTAGCATCACAATTTTAAAAGGGAAATGTTTATTAGTTTTTTGTTTTGTTTGTTTTTATTTTTATTTGGGTTTTGTTTTTGTTTTTCTACGTAACAACCCGAGCTGTCCTGCAACTAGCTCTTGTAGACCAGGCTGGCCTCAAACTCACAGAGATCCTCGTGCCTCTGCCTCCTGAGTCCTGGGATTAAAGGCGCACACCACAACTGCTTGGTTTAAAGTAAGATGTTATGTCAACACAAAAGCATTTCACTCACCTCAAAGGAAATAAGCAACAGTTTATTCTGGAACTAAATATGGGGACATGGATTCAGAATACCTCAAAGTCTATCTCTAGGGTGCGAACATCTTAAGAAGTTGTTACAGTAACAAATAAATAAAGGTAAACATTTGTGAAAGTTGGTGGAAACAACAGACAGGTGGGTTGTAGCAAAGCAGGAACATCTCTGGTATTATTCTCATAGACTATTCCGAGCTTTTGTATT